GTGCTCTGCTCATCCCTGGACAGATTTGTCTCCTGCCAAATACAGCGTCTTGAGACTTATGACTTAGACCGCGCGTCAGTGTGACAGTGTCCTACCCACGAGGGGTCCCGCAGCTGAGGCTGGAGGTGTGGAGGCCTGTCCGGGCTTTAGACCTGCCTTCTAGTCAATGTAACACAATAGACACAAGTTCTCCAGTGAGCCCTCTTTACAGGAATGGAGCATTTAAAGCATTGCGCAGCTTAGATGACGCAAAGTGGGCACAGCGGCTGAAGCATCTGACGGGCGGTTCATGAGGCGCTTCCGGCGTCTGCTTGGCCGGGGCTCCAGGCAGCCTCTGGGGGCTTCTCCCTTGTTCAGCAGTGAGGTGGGAGGCACTGCTGAGAGTCAGCAAAGACCACCCGGCCCCTCCCGGGCGACTCTGAAGCATACCATGTTACCGTGTGTCGAACATCTGTGTCCTCATAATGAACCTGCTCCCCGGGGTCTTCAAAAGTCCATCACAGCGCTGTCCGCCAAGATGCCCCTGGGGGGCTTGAACCTCCACCCTGTTAGCTAGCAGCCCAACCCCTTAACAGTTAGCACCAGCAGCAAATTGAGCAGTTGATATTTGGAGCAAAGTGTTGGGCCTAGAGCTAGCTGGCTGGAGACCTGCTCCAGGACCGTCTTGGTGAGCACTGTAGAGCTGGCCGAGTCCGGGGTAGAAGGAGACTTTCTCTAAGTCTGTGCCCACCTCCTTCCAACAGAGTACCAGGCGGTCTGCGAACCCCTGGCCATGAGACCCTGGACCCCTACAAGCATTCCTTTCAGCCAGGGAGGCACCGTTTGCCCTGGGAAAGCAGATGGGGGAGAACGTAGAAGCCGAGCGCTGGTGCTGGAAGGCGCTGTCCACTGGTCTTGTGAAAGAAGAGTCTACTCGTGGTTTTCATTGTTGTCCATGCAGACAGACGCACGGGCATAACTGATGGGACCACTCCTGCCGGCTGACATTGAGGACCAGCGACAGATGGCCGGACTTCAAAGAAGTTGGACTGTAGGAATTGGTTCCTGGAATCCGCTCACCCCACTGAGGGCCTTGCTTCCAGGGGAAATCACAGTACCCATAAAGAGAAGGGATGCAAATGATAGAATGACTGAGTTAATTATCAAAGCCATACAAGGGAATGAGGATTTTGGTATATTTATGGAAAAATGCAAAAGTTAGAATTGGAACAACCCCAACTGACTACAGTAACTCCCGGGAAGTTCCCTATGACTGCCTTTCTGGGAAAGAGTGCCAAAGATAAGAAACAGCCCTTGATTCACTCAGTAAAACCCCTTAATAAATTTGCGTATAGTAAAGGGGACAGTAATGAAAAAAACCCTAAGACTGCTCTCCCTCCTTTGAATTACACTGGCATTTATGACGACAATGGAGAACATATTACTGAGGTAAATGGGAAGCATGTAAAATTTTCAACCTTATCTTTATGGAAAAGAATAAAAAGGGGTGGCCCAGTTTGGTGCATTAGATCTATTGAAGACAAAATAAGGTATACAAAAATGTTATTACAGAGTGGATTGTGTAGATGGTGCATAATGGAAACAAGAGAACAGTGGAAGCCCGATTGAAAAGGCAGATAAAAGAAATGGAGCGAAGGCTTAAAGAACGTAAATTTGATGAAGCATAGAAAGAATATTTAGCTAACTTAGACCTTTGTAGACTGAACTTTGTATTTTAAGTTCATGCCAATTTTCTACTATCTACTTCCTTGAACTTGAACACTGTTTGGCACCATTACCACAGACCTATTTCAAGAACCATTCATGTCTATGGTTAATCAAAATGTACGTTGGTCAAGATTGAAAACTTAAATGAACCAGTCACCCAGAAAGAACGTTCCGAGAAGATTTAAACAGAACCTCCTGGAAAACTATATACTTTGCACCTTTTATTATTAGAATTTTTTCTTTCCGTTTTGATTGTATGATTGCCAGAAAATATTGTTTAAATAGAACCTTAAAATTGTAAGAAAGCAGCAGATGATCACAGACTCCTGACTCTGCTCATCCCTCTCGCGTCGACGCCTTACCCACCGAACAGGGGACCCCTCACCCTGTCCAGCACATAACAACGTCTCGCCGATACCCACTAAGCTGCCACTTCCCTCAATGTCCTCAGAGTGCGCGTGTGTGGCTGTGCCTCCAAACCTGGCACCCTTCCGCTCGGTGGGAGACCAGCACCCTCCATTGCTGCGGCGGGAGACCAGCACCCATACTATTCACAGAGATACACGACACTCCAAACACTACCCAGGCACTAAGTAGGGGAGCAGTGAGGTGACCAGATAGCTCTGCCAGCCCCTGTGCAATGCTCCAGGAGGGGAAGATGAGCTGCCCAGGGCATCGGGCACCATCACAGAACTGCCCTGCCACTTCCTGCAGCGCAACTGTGGATGCTCATCTGCCCCAAGGGTCTCTCTTTTCTTCCCGATCCTCTTGGCTTGGAGGTCCCAGATGCTCCCGGGGCGGCTAGGGATTCCTGTGTTTCGGAGTCTGGCCGATTCTTTGTTGGTTTGGGATTCCTGCTCATATCCCTTGTCAAGCCACCCTCACAGCATGGGCCAGATCTAATGAGAATGTTAGGACCCTGGGAACATGCTTACGCCTTCAATAACTCACTCTCAATTTGCCATTCCTTTGTGATCCCTGCAGGCTATCAGTGGGGAGGGAAGAAAATAAAAACCAATAAAAAACAATGAATTAGCAAGTAAGAGATAATTAAAATGGGCCATTTTAAACTTAATTAACATGCAAATAAAATTCATTAAGGTTGAAATCTTGCTTCATTATGAGCTGTAGGAAAATAAAGACAGAGGATTGTTTCCTGGGATGGAGGGTGTGAGCTATGTACATGGAGGGGGGTGGGGGGTGGTAATCAAGCACCCCACCCAAGCAGGCACCCTGATTAAAGGCAAATCAATACTGCGTGTAGAGTGCGTGACTTCGCCAGTTATCGCTGTCCATCCACAGCCTGGGAGCCTGGAGAGAACTTGATCGGAATGCAAAGCCGAAAGAGAAAGGTTACGTTTCTCCTAAAGCGAGTAAAGGCAGAGCAAGCACCGACTTGTCCCAAAGTCTTTCCTGTTTGTTGCTGTTTTATTGGCACAGAAGTGCCCCTTTCTCCCCGGCCACAGTTTGAGTAAATTGAGCTGAGCCTTGGATCGAGGTGGTAATCTGATTTCACCTGTTTGTCCAGGAGCGACGCTACTTCCCTCAGAGACTGTGAGAAAATCAGAAGTAACGGAACCCTGAGAAAGAAGGGAAGAAGGCCTGAGACGAGGCCTGGGTGGGTGAGCAGGTGGATTTTTAAACTGACAACAATAGTAAATCCCTCTGTGTTTGTAATCCCTGTGTGCCCCTGCGTGCAGTGTAAGCTGGTGGTGCTCTGACTGCCTGTGGGGGGCAGGCTAAGGACACACGAAACATTTATATACCATGATAACTATCCAAACGTTTCTAAACACCTGTATTGTAATGTATGTGCAGGATGTCTCCATATCTCTACCTACCTGTTTGTTTACATAAATACATATCTACCTACCTACCTGTCTCTCTACCTACCTATCTTTCTTTCCATCTACACACCTCTCTCTATCTAGCTATCTATCTCTAGCTGCCTGTCTAGCTAGCTAGCTATCTACCTGTCTATGAAAATCTGAAATGCTTAACATCAAATACAAGTTATGTATTTGTGGCCAAAATTCACAATGATAAATATTAAGATCAAGAAATCAGAGGTTACAAAGAAATCAGAGGTGATTAAGACAGTGTGTATGTGTGTGTGTGTGTGTGTGTGTGTGTGTGTGTGTGTGTCTGCGCGCGCAGAATAAGCCATGGAGTCCTCTTACATGTTATAGTTTTCACCAGTGTTTTCACAAGTTCTGTTTGCTCGCCAAGGGACAACTGCCCTCGCTGTGGGTGTTGATGCATCATTCTTGCAAGGATCTTACGCAGAGGGTCCAGACAAGAAGTCTTCAAGGATGGGAACAGGACCCTAAGAGGCCCGCAGGCATGCTCCCCTTAAGCCCCCTTTCCTTCCAGGGGCTGGGGGTGGCTAGGGGGTTGGAAAGAACTGACACGCTATTGAAACAAGGCCTTCTGGTGTCCAGCGAGAAGTAAGACAATGAACGGTCTCTTGGAGAAAGAGAGCCCTTTGCAAACAGCCCCCGGCAGTCGCGGGGGCAGATGTGGTGCTGGGGACCGACATGGGGTAGGGACTGAAGATCCGATGGGCAGCGCTTGTGCCCACAGGCACGTGGGTGAGGATCTCGTGGCAAAGGCAAGCCTAAACACGACCCGGGTGCAGATTTGTTGCATTCTGAGAGGTGTTTAACCAAGCATTCTTTCAGGAGTTAACTTTCAGCGGTCAAGTCTGCTGCCCGCTCCAATGTCAGCACATGCAGTCTACATCTTACCTACAAATTCACACAGGACGAACGGAAACACCGTGGAAAACTCCAAAACCCACTGCCGTCCAGTTGCTGCCGGCTCACAGCAACCCCACGGGCAGAGTGGAGCGCCCACGTGGGTGTCTGGGCTCTTTATGGAAGTTGAACCCCAAAGGGGCAGCTCTATTGTCCTACAGGGTCCTGGTGAATTGGGATCAACTGATGGCTGCAAGTTTGTTCTGTGTGAGCTACAAAGTTATATGTCCTGGTGGCCCCATCCAGCAAGCTTATTGCTAACAACAAGGTTGGCAGTTCAAAGCCACCAGCTGCTCTGTGAGAGAAAGGCGAGGCTGTCTGCTTCAGGAAAGATTTACAGCTTCAAAGACCATAGGGTTGCTACAGAGGGGTTGGCAGTGCCTAGGTGAGTGGATGTGGTAATCTCTTACAGCAGTGACAGAATCAGCCACCCCCTAGTCTTTGTTCAGCTTGAAGAAGAAGAATTAAACCCTCAGGGCTAATGAGCCCATGCAAAATGCACACATGGGATCTGATATGAGGGCAAGGCAGACTCACCATCTCGCCGGTTGAGCCGGGCGAACCCAGGACTGTGGCTGCTGGACAGGGCGGAGGAGCTGCTGAAGGCCGAGGGCGGCAGGGTGGATAGCAGGGGCTCCTCACAGCTGCCTGCCAGAGGGAGAGACAGCCTTTGGGTTAATGGCCTCCTTACGGCATTTCCAGCCCACAACCTGAAGTATTCAAAACTCCCCGGAGCAAACGTCCACCTGGCTGGCCCTGCCGGCAGGAGCATGCTTGAGCATCTGCCTGTAGGGAGGCTGGCTATCTTATCAGTATACACTAGTCATCACATCTCTATACCCCCAAACGGTTAAAGACAGAAGTTTAAAAACCAGCATACAGAGTAAAAACAAAACTTCAAGTCCCTAAGACATTGCTCCCAGCTGGCCCAATTTGGTCCTTTATGGACAAGCCAAGTGTAGAGGCCCTGGGTTGGAGACAACGTTGTCTGGAACCCAGCTCCAGGCTACCCCTGAGAGTCCCCATCCGTCCTAGGGACCCACCTATGGGTTTCTGACAGCCTCCGCATCGCAGTGGGTCAGTCTGCTGCAAGCACTTTAAAGTGTTGAAAAGCCAAGATGTTGCTTTGAAGGCGAAGGTGCACCTGACTCAAGCCCTGGTATTTTCAATCGCCTCCTGTGCACGTGGAAGTCGGGCATCGAATAAGGAAGACCAAAGAAGAGTCCATGCATTTGAATGATGTGCTGGAGAAGAATGCTGAAATTACCATGGACTGCCAAAAACCAACAAGTCTGTCCTGGAAGAAGTATAAGTATAGCCAGAGTGCTCCTTAGAAACAAAGAGGGTGAGACTTCACCTCACGTGCTTTGGACACGTTGTCAGGAGAGACCAGTCCCTGGAGAAGGACAGTGGAGGGGCAGCAGACAGGAGGATGGCCCTCCACAAGCTGGACGGACACAGTGGCTGCCATCCTGGGCTCAACCAGACAATTCTGAGGGTGGTGCAGGGCAGGGTTTCCTTCTGTTGCACACGGGGAGGCTGTGAGCTGGACCTACTGGTTGGCCCTGATGACAGCCACACCCGCCCTCACCCTGTGTGAGCTGCTCCTCCTTGCAGCACATCCCTCCCGCTTCCCTCCCTTCTGCCTGCCTCCCTGTGGGAGCCTGATTCAGGGAGGAGCGAGACGGGGCAGGGCTACTCGTCTCCTCACCATGAGCCCTCTGTCCCTGTCCACTCTCACAGGAAGGCCAGCAGTGGGGAACCAGGGTGGGGGGGAGGCACACCCCCCCCCCCCCCCCGGACCTAAACAGCCACTCTCAGGAATGCAAAGTGAGGGCCAGGAGGGGTACCTCTGTCCCCCACTAAAGAGCAAGCAGTGGGGGTCAAAACCCACTGCCCACGAGTCCACGTTGACTCAGTGACCCCACAGGACAGAGACGAACTCCTCCTTAGAGTCACTGAGACTATAAGTCTTCTCAAGCCTCTGAGGTGGTTGAAGACACCTTCGCTTGAGTCAGGTGCAACTTATGCTTCAAAGCGACACATTTCCCTTTTAACTCTTTAAAGAGATCTTTTGCGGCAGATTTGATCAATGCAATTAGTCATTTGATTTCTTGATTGCGGGTCCATGGCTATTAACTGTGGACCCAAGCGAAATTAATCCCTTAGCGACGTGGCTGTTTTCTCCACTTGGGGGAGCCCTGGAAACACAGTGGATCTGATTGCAGGTCAGTCAAGGGAACCCACTGGAGAAAGAAAGGCAGGGCTTTCTGCTCCTATAAAGAGTTAGAGTATCAGTTCTACCCTGTCCCACAGGTTTGCTATGAGTCGGGGTGGACTCCATGCCAGTGGGTTTGTCTGTCTGGCTGGCTTATCGTGATGTTGCTCCTTGGTCCAGTTGTGAGGATGCTTGGTTTCTTGTATTGGGGTGTAAGCCATGCAGAAGACTGCAGTCTGTGATTTTCATCAGTAATTGCTTCAAGTCCTCTTTGCTGTAAGCAAGCCAGGGTCTGTCAGAGGTTGCTACTACTAGGGCTTCTTCTCATCCTGAGGTCATGGTGCAGCTTCTTGGAATGTTCGGTCAGTTTACAGATTACACCGGGTAAACCTGCTACCTAAGACCACATTAAAGGGTTAAAGAGCGAGGATGTCACTTTGAGGACTAAGGCGGCATAGGTCATGGTATTTTCAGCACCTCCATGCATGTGGCCGTTGGACATTGAACAAGGACGGCTGAAAAAGAAGAGTGCATTTGAGTTCTGGTGCTGGTGAAGTGCCATGGCCATCAAAAGACCCACACATCTGTCCTGGCACAAGTACAGCCAGGTTGCTCCTTAGAATCGAAGACGATGACACTTCACCCACGAATTTCCGACTTGTGGTCAGGAGAGACCACCCCTGGAGAAGGACAGCATGCTCAGTGAAGTAGAGAGCCAGCAAAAAAGAAAAAGACAAAGAGGAAGCCCCTCAAGGAGACAGAGGACACAGCCGCTGCAGCAATGGCCTCGACGCATGGACAGCTGTGAGCTGGCGCAGGGCCGGGCATGGACAGCTGTGAGCTGGTGCAGGGCCGGGCATGGACAGCTGTGAGCTGGTGCAGGGCCGGGCGGGGTTTGTGCTGCACACAGGGTTGCTGTGAGTCAGAACCGACCAAAAGGCACCTAACCACAGAAACTGTGTCCAAACGGAGCGACATGTCACCCTGGTGCCGCTTTTCCTGATTTCCAACCAGGCAGTCTCTCTCTGCTCTGCTTGGATGAGTGACTGCGCTTGGTATTGGTATGGTTTCTGTGTGAGCGCGGCTTTCTAGAATCCCCACTTCTCATGACGTCTCCATGATTTGCTATGACCCACACAGTGGGGTGCCATTGCACAATGAAGCACAGGCACACATCCTTCTGGTACTCTGCTTGTACGAGACCCTCATCCCATGCCCTCTTCTGAATCTGGCTTGAATTCCTGGCAGTTCCAGGTCTATGGAAGTCTGCAATCATTTTCCGTTATTTTCAGCACTTATCTGTGATATTAATTATACAGCCCAATAATTTCCACTTTTTGATGGACCCACTTTCTTTAGAATCGCACAGCTGTGAGTGGACTGGGTTTTCCCAATGTCTCGGCCTAGCCAAATGAGCCTTCAAAGCCAGACTCACTGCCATCGAGTCCGACCCTGCAGGGCAGGGTGCAGCTGCCCCTGTGGGTCTCCAAGACTAACTCTTTATGGGAGCACAAAGTCTCATCTTTCTCCCATGGAGAGGCTGGTGGGTTTGAACTGCTGATCTTGCAGTTAGAAGCCCAATACATAACCACTCCACCACCAGGGCCTGGTGGAGTACTTCTAGCATTGTGCTACTTGTCGAAACATGTCAGTTGGTGTTCCATCAGTTCCCGGAGCCCTGGTTTTCACCAAGGCCTCCAGTGCAGCTGGCTGCCCCCGTTAGTGCCATCAGCTCTGATCATTGGTTACACCCTGAAAGGTTGCACATCAGACAATTCTTCTGGGTGCAGTGGCTTCGTGAACTCCTTCCACCTTCTTTGGTTCTTCTATGCCACGCCCCATGCCAACTGCCCCTTCCCCCCAGCCCCTTCCCCTGCCCTCCACACACACACACACACACACACACACACACACACACACATCTCCTTCAGTATTGCAACTGGAGGCTTGGATTTTTCTTCCAGAGGGAGGGTGTGCTTCATTTCCCACTGAGGTCTTTGCACACTTGGCTACGGTGTTTCCCTTGTCTTTCTGAGCTGTGCTTTGAAAGCTGCTGCTCCGCTCTTCTTTGATCTGAGGTAGCTACTTTATGTTTCAAACCAAGTGTCACATGTCACAGTACATGAAATCATTTAGACGGAGAATAATTACAGAGGAAGAATACAGTAACCAATATATCTCTGCCTTGAATGGATTTTTGTCTCTTGGAGAAAACATAAGAGTAAGCTTTGAGATCTACTTTTTGACAGAGGTTCTTAGATATGATGATGGCTGCCCAACCTGCATGGTATAGCTCACAATGGCAGAATTGGCCAATGTTTTGTAATATTGACCAAACTGAGTCAATAAACCCAAACCAAATTCATTGCCATTAAGGCACTGCTGACTTACAGCCCCCCCATCGTGGGTTTCTGAGACTGTAATTGTTTATGGGAGTAGAAAGCCCAGTCTTTTTCCCCAGGAGCTGCTTGTGGTTTCAAACTGCCAACCCTGGAGCCCAGCCCAACATGTATGGAAATGCAAGTATGTTGTTCACGGGGCTGTCAGCTCCACAGAGGAAGAACACGGCCCTCAGAGTCCCCTTCACCGTCCTCATCAACTTCAACAGCCCCTCATAGAACGACGGGCTTCAAAGGAGGGCTTGAATTATCGAGTGCTTTATCTTGCAGCTTTAATCCAGCACTTTGACTTCTTCTCCTGGAGACTGTGGGCAAATCAATCGTCGCTGCTTGATTATCCCAGAGATCATCATAATCACATTGTGAGGTACCACTAAAATAACAGTGAACCGGTTAAATTGATTTTCAAAAATCACAATAACTAAGTAAGAGAACAAAAGGAATAAAAAGAGAGTTTGGGAATAAAAATAATTTAAGTATACTAACAGTTGATATGCAAAATGAGAGGTATTTAAAGAGAAAATTTTAGATGCTTTTTTATTTCTTAATAGTTTTTAGCTGGCCATTTAAAGTTGGGGATATAATTTTCCTTAGCTGTGTAGAGATGTCTTTATCTTGTAACATTTCAGTATTGTGAAGGGAAAGAGTTACAATTTTTCATGAGGACCCTACGGAAGTAAGGATTTATTCTGGATGTGCTGGGCCTGTTACATTGTTTAACATAGCGAGAAAAATGTCTCTGTCCTATCAGGTGCCAGTGAATTCTTTAGTAACTACATTATCAGAGTTGTTGTAGGAGTGCTATTTGTGTTTTCAGAGTTTTAGTATAAAACCTAGGTTACACAAGAAACAATTTTCCCCATCTTGTTGGAAAGATCTTTATTTTTAAAAAAACCAAAAAAACTGAAACCTCTTCTTGACTTTTTGTAATTGTGGTCTCATACACATTTGTCTCTTTTGTCTAGACTGACTTCAATCATCATGATGGTCTCCAGGCTCATGCACGGTCCCAGGGGCCTCAGAGTCATCGTAACTCTGGGTAGTGTTCCCCTGTGGTACCGACCAAGGTTTGTTTATCCATTCTTCCCTTGGGGAGCCTGAGGGTGACTTCCACTTTTTGCTGCGATGGAAATGGGTGTGCAGATACCTACTTGTATCATGGCTGAGTGTCTCTAAGATACACCCCAAAGCTGAAGGACCGCTGGTCATTCAACGGTGAAGCCACTGTGGAAAACAGGATGGAGCGTCCTTAAAAAGCTGGGAATAGAAAGAGAGCTCCGGCTACTGGAGCACTTGAGCGGAGAAAACACTGAAGTTGTCAAGGGTTTCGTCTTGCTTGGCTCTTCCATCAGTGCTCACAGAGCAGCAGCCAGGGGCTCGGAAGACTCAGTGCGGGGGAGGGGGGGGTCTGCTGCACAGACCTCCACAGACCTCTTTAGAGTGTTG